ATACCGACCGTGATCCATAAAAGTGACTTCTTTGTACTGACTACAAGAGTTACCTGGAGAAGTATTCAAAACAAACTGTTTAGAGGTAAGCTTATAGGGAAGAAGATGAAGGTGGGTACGAAAGTGGTGGAAACAATGCCGAGGTAGAAGATGTCACTACGGAATGGACAGACTAGAGAATTTTGGACCAGGTGTTAGCTTATGTGTAGAAAACCCATGTACAAAAGTTTAATGAAGTTAAAAGCATTTAAATAAACACATAGTTTTTGTTATAATGGTAACCACGTGTTATATGGTAGTGAGGGAGGGATGATCATGACGTTGCCTGTTGAGTGTTACAACATAAGTGCTATAGAGATAGTAAGGTGGTGCAGAGTACTTACATGAAAGTACTGATAATAAAATGCAAGTAATGAATCATATTACATACAAAAAGATCCATCGACGAACAGTATATTTATCAGTCAAGTGTGACGAGATAATTTTAGGGGAAGAGCTGCAAGCAGTAGGCGTTAAGTCGAGAGACCAGTTACGTTAGGAAGAAGTGGAGGTTACACAAGAACAGCTACAAAGTTCACCGTTGCAAATCGCAACACACTAAGCAAACCGTCCAATTCGGGTAAGTTGATTTATATAACATATCATCTCAACCTATGTGCCAACCATTCCGCGATGCATAATTTCGTCGATGGTGAGGATACTAGGGTATATTTACCGCAAGCATTGTACGTCACATCACTGTGAGTTGGCTGTCAACGAATAGGTGAAAATCTTTAGATAGGAGCAACTCACTGAGTAATCGTTGAAACTGACCGATAGATCAGGATGCTGGTGTAGAAGTGGGAAGTTTGTTCTACAGCGTACTATATTGCGTAATGAAAAATCCACAACGGAGTTTTGAGTGATACTTGTTTATAGTAATAGTGTGTTCACTATTACGGAGACCATATGTCGGTGTTGATTTAAAAGTAATAGCACGGTTCGTTTTAGATTTTCCAAATAAAAGACGAAAAAGAAAGGTTAGGTTGAGCTTCAGACGTCTCAGCCAGAGTGATTCTAGTTCTAGTTTTTCGCACCTTGCTTCGTAAGGAGGTCCTTCGTTATGTATTAGTAGGTGCAGATTGAAGATTTGTTGGATGTTATCTACTCGAATTCTATCAGATGCTTTCATGTTATCATAGATAACTGTGCAATACTCGAATATTGGGCGAGCCATAACTTTGTATAGTATTAGTTTTGCCTCTGTGTAGAAGACCTATGAGTCTTCTGCCTTTGGAAACTACTGAGTTTGCACACTCTGTAAAAGTCAAACTCCTGAAGTAAATGGTCCCGATATCCTTCACAGTGCTGAATATCTGCAGTGGGTTGTCATCCAAGTGTAGTGTTACTTCTGGGTGGGATTTGTTGAAATGGAGGATGTCACTTTTTGGGTGTGAAGGGAGCTGCCAGGTCACGCTCCATCTCTTCAGATCATGTTGTATTTGAGAGAAACCTTGTGTTAGCTGCGCAGGGGAAACTGTAGACTATCTTCAAGTCATCTGTGTAGAGGTAAGGGATGCCATATCTGATAATGCTGCGGATATCGTTTACATAGATTAGGAAAAGTAACGGTCCTAGCACACTACCCTAGACGACACCATTTTGTATAGGTCTAGGGGAGAAGTAGGAATGACTGAATTTTACTACTTTGAAGCGACCCTCTAAATTTGTCCCAAGCCAGGACAGTAACGAGTCTTGGCAACCATATGGTTTCAACTTAATGACTAGGAGTTTGTGAAGCACCTCATCGGATGCTTGCTTGAAGTCTAAGAAAGGGGTAGTGACGGGTAGGCGTAGATTACTCTTGCTCGTAACATCGTCTAGATAGTCAAGATAACAGGTAGCGCATGACCGGCCTTTCAAGAATCCATGTTGTGATGGAGAGAGCAATTGGTTTGTAGTCATGTAGTCGACAACTTTCACGATCACCCTTTCCATAATCCTAGATACTGCTGACGTGATGTTTGTTGGTTGGTAGTTTTCTCTACTATATGTTGGTCCACATTTGTGCTTGGGATGTATGTATGACAGTTTGCAGTTCCCATGATAATTGGCATTAGAGAGGGGCATATTGAAGAGTTTCAACAGGATCAGCGGTTTGTCTCCGCCACCACTTTTAATCAAGATGTTTGGAATCCCATCAGGCCAGCTGTGTATTAGGCTTGAAGTGATGCTGTAACAAGGGAGGTTTTTTTAAGTGCAGAGCAGACTTCTTATCGGATGAGTTGATGTTGACAGCGTATCAACGGATTTCGTTGTGTCTTCCTGTGTGAACGAGATGGCAAATCGATAGCTGAACAGCTTGCAGATTTGTAGTGGGTCGTCGTGGAGGTCCTCATTGTCCATGAATAAATTAGGAGCACTATTTCCGGAGCTGTTTGTCCAGGTCTTCAGCAGTCTTTTGTTGTTCATCTTTCAGGTTCACCCAACCAGTCCTTCATGCGCATGGAATCCTAGTATTTTAATTGTTCAGCAGGCACTGCGCCATCCAGACCTTATGACGGACGCATAAAGCGCAAGGTCACAGCTGTGCTACCCACCCTACCTTCAAGAGTATTGGAAGATTCAAACAATAGCCGAATATTTCCTACTTTCGAACTGAGCTCGCCTCGGTATGATGAACAGTTATACCGGTGTTTATCTGTTTCATTCTTTGCTATCTGCAAAGCATTAACGTTCTTACTCTAAACGCATCTTTTGTGCACTGGAAAGAACGGTGTCCATTGTATAGCTTCATACTGTACATAACAGTCAGTTCAGTTTACCAAAATGATCAGACCTGTAAACCCGTTCGTTTTCATGTAACTTATGTTGTATGAGATATATTATTATTATTATCATTACTACTACTACTACTACTGCTACTACTACTACTACTACTGTTGCCACTACAGCCACACACATTTCTACTATCACTCACACTTCTGCTACTGAAACCAATAACCACGCTACCGCAACTGCCATTACTAATCAGGTCATGACTCGATATTACTATTCCTACCGATACTGCTACTAGTACTGACACTACTACCACTGCCACCACCACTACTACTACTGCCATTACTACTACCATTAATATTACTACTACTCTCACTAATAATTCTGGTAAGCAGGAAAAACGCGAGGGCTTCTGCGATCATCAAAGGAGTACAACTGAACCGGACACCAAGCCTCAAAACCTAAAAGCATGAGCTCAAGAATTACAAGTTTCCTGTGCTAGCACTATTGGTGTTGGGTGTTGGAAGAGTGACAAATGACTCATTTAGTGACCTCTTACCTAGGAAATCAATCCTAAACGACTATCAGCATGGTTTTTTACCCGGAAGGTCATGTAACACCAACTCGTTGATAGGTCGGAACAGCTAGACTCTCTCTGTTGAGTAAAAGAAGCCCATTCACATAGGTTTACTTGACTTTTCTAAGGACTTTGATGGTTTAAATCATGATATTCTATGTACGAAACTTCAGCTTGTGGGTGTACATGGAAAATTACTAGTGTGGTTTAGAGATTATCCTAAAATCAGGCCTCAATCAGGTAGAGTTGACTCCTCTCTATCCACTCGGTTCTCGATGCTGAGTCCACTACTGTTTCTTGCCTTTGTCGATTGCCTATTTGGGGCCCTCAGTTCTCATTCACCATTATATGCCTATGATCTGAAGACTTGGAGGGAGATACAGGTGCCAGCGGATATTTCGGTCCTCCAGGTGGACCTTGCGAAAAACCTTAATTAGATGGCAGAAAACCTGCTGCCTCCCAACTCGAAGAAGTGTCGGATGATAGCTGACAAGTGTAAAAGCAGTTCCAGATCCTACTCTCAAGGTGAAATAAATATCTGTCACCCTAACATAGAACAAGATCTGGGATTTTAATAAGGAGACACACTACGAGCTTCAGTCCACTATCGCCTTGCAGCCAACGTGGCCTACGAAGTTTTGGGGTTTCTTTCGTGAACTTTAGGGAGTCTAACTCCTTATCTTTCCACCACAGTGTGTGCCGTGCACATTCACCCTCGTGTGGAGAAAAATTAGCTTGTGGTGCCCCCATACGTGAACGACATATCCATCCTAAAACCGGTACCGAGAAGAGTTACAAAGAAAGTGATTAGGTTACGGTACAAACTTCACCCGGAACGCTTAGTTTTCCTTGAGGTGCATCCAGTACAACACCGGATGATCAGAGGGGATACGGTCATGATGTACCACATCGCACATAATCCCCTTCATCCTAACAGATCCCTTCTCAGCTTTAATCGAAAACGCGACCTGAGGGGTCACCCGTCAAGAATAGAGTATAAAACAGCATGTACGAAGATCCATGCTAACTCGTTTGCAATCAGAGTTAGTACACCGCCAAACCTCTTTTTTTCAGAAGTCGTTGCAGCCCCAGCCCCTGATTCTTTCAAAAGGAGGTTAGATGCGTATCTACAGTCTTGTGGTACGGATGTTCTGTACTCGTGAAGCTTTCCGTCATCTGCAGATCATAAGCAGTAATACTACCTAGAGCATAGATTAATTAATAATTGATTATCACCATTCTTTTGGGTTTTTCCAAACCAAGAAGACAATTATGACCATTCCAAACCTAGAACGTACTGCAATAAACAGACGTGGAACCCATGGAACCGTCGTTCATTCATCCTGTTTCCATCACTCTTAGGTAACACTTACCTACAGGTGCCTACAACAACAGGAATTGAAAACGCTTGATTGATCTTCTCAGAAGCTCCATTGCCCCCCCCCCCGCCGCAAAACAAACCAAGCTACAAGTTGCAAATAAAATACCTTCAACTGGACAATCACTATCTCAAAAACTATAAGTTGGAAGATGGAAAGACTTCGGTGACAATCAGAGGAGTATAACTGAGCAAAAAGACCAAGCCTAAAGACCTAGAAGCGAGAGATGAAAAATTACAAGTTTCTTCTACTAGCACTATTGTTGTTGAATGTTGGATTCTGCAACACGAAGTTTGAAGGTCAGCGCCTCATATGAGGTCATTTTCGATCAGCTTTGTTTCCAGGTGAGTGGTTGTCAGAGGTCGAAGAACCTGCATGTTTGGATGCAATTCCAATTGAAGCCATGAATTTTCGGGAGGTTGTAGTCTGGGATGGGTTGTCTTTTGGTTTCTTGCATCTGCAGATGTAGGTGGTAAAAACGATATCTTGCATATGTTGAATAGAATTTCGATGTCGAGTGTGCGTTGGTATGATCCGCAGTCATAATCTGCGTATCGGGTCAGAAAGACAATCACAGAGGCATGACAGGTGATGTTGGTTGTCTTAGAATTTAGGGAAACTATTGAAGACTGGAGTATCTAAAGGTGGGCACGAGCAACAAGGGGCTACATAGTTTAGTATAGTACTCATAGGACACCTTTGGAGTTTTATATGGTCCATTTCTCTTGTCCTAATCCAAGCTACAAAGAAAGTGATTAGGCTGCGGCACAAACCATACCCAGACCGCTTAGTCGCTCTTCAGCTGTAACCAGTACAATACCGGAGGATCAGAAGGGATATGATCATGATGTACCACATCGCACATAATCCCCTCCATTCTAATAGATCCCTTCTAAGCTTTAGTCGGAAACGCGACCTGAGGGGTCACCCGTTAAGAATAGAGCACGAGAGGGCACGTACAAAGATCCGTGCTAACTCATTTGCAGCTAAAGTCTGTAAACCGTGGAATTCCCTCCCTTCAGCAGTTGTTACAGTCCCATCCCCTGATGCTTTTAAAAGGAGGCTAGACGCACACCTCGATTCCTACGGTACCAATGGGCTGTACTCAAGAAGCTTTCCACAGATCAGATGCAGTAATACTACCTTGAGACCAGATCAATCAATAATCGTATCCTTATCCTTCCAAGTTTTTCAGAACCGGGAGGATAATTTTGACCATTCCAGACTCAGAACGTATTCCAATAAGATGGACGTATAGCCCAAGGAACCACTGGTCACTAATTCTGCAACACTAAGTTTGAAGTTTATCATAAATGTTTAAAGATGGTAACTCTGTTTTGGAATTGAGAACCAGTAAGAGCTTTAACATGCGCATACAGGGTTGGGGTAAGAAAGGGGGGAAGATACTTTCTGTGATCTCAAAGGAAGGGAGAGTGTGGGGGACATATTCGGTCTAGTGACCTGAGATAAGGGCGGTTTCCATAAGTCCCAATTATCGGACTTGCCATCTCATGTTGTTAAGCCTTTTTGCATTATCCTAGTCTGTCACTACTTTATCTGTGCCATGTGCTGATTTTTCTTTTTCCTGCCCTTAACCTCTACTCTGTCTGCTAACAGTAATGGTACGGATGACGAGATGGAGGTTAGAGTTTGTTCGACTGGTCATCAGGTACCCGCCGGCATTCATAATCTTTGTTGTACTATGTCATTGTGCTTACAGAGACCTCATCCACTCTTGGCCGTCTCACAGATAAGGGTGTTTTCCGCTGGCATCCCCGCCGTCAAATCTGCCGTATCTTATTATCAAGCTGTTTTTGTGTTTTAAAATATCTTTCGGTCTATCGCCAATAATCTTGTACCATGTACTATCATAAACTTTCTTTCTTTCCTTTTGTTGGTCGTAATGTTACTTGCATGAAGCCTGTGATCACTGCAAGTCCACTTTAGCATTATACAGTGGAGGTATGTGGGTACTTGTACAACAAGTTATCCCTAGAGTAAGATCAAAGTCAGAGAAATATGAGTGGTAGGGTAGATTTGTTTACGTAGAGTGAAGAGTAAAAGATTTATTTTTTCATAGTTCAGAATGGAAGAGATGTTAAATCGAGAGATCAGTTAAGTTATGAAAAAGTAGTGGTTATGTCAAAGTAGCTACATAGTTCAGTGTTGCGAATCTTATCATAGTCCCCACGGCACTTCCTCTCTACTCTAAGTCAGTTGTTTCGTTAGATTATAAATTAATTTCGGCATGATATACTCATTTCCTTGCTCAGCTGATGTTATTTCAATGTGGAAAGATGCGTTTATTTGCCTTTTCAAACTGTTATTATCTCGTGTGAAAAGGTATTCATTCTAAATGATAGCACAGATAATCAGTCAGACCATGAATGCAGTTCATGTGGTTTGCACTTTCTAGACCAGCTCGTTTGGTCACTTTCGTACAAGGAAGGTTGTAAAGGGTTTCTAAGAATACTATTTTGTACCATGTCACTTTGTCAGCGGTTATTCGAGAATTTGTCTCCTATTAATTTCCCTAGAGACATACGAATGTTAGCAAAATTCTAGACTATTACAATACTGGTTTATCAGATGTCCAAGCTCGAGAGTCTTTGTTTCCGGCTTTGTTTCTGTCACTATTTAGTTCTTTAACGAATCCAGGATATCATTTTTGCGGCATGGATACCAGTAGCACTGTACGTGATATCACTGTGAGTTGGCTGTCAACGAATAGGTGAAAATCTTTAGATAGGAGCAACTCACTGAGTAATCGTTGAAACTGACCGATAGATCAGGATGCTGGTGTAGAAGTGGGAAGTTTGTTCTACAGCGTACTATATTGCGTAATGAAAAATCCACAACGGAGTTTTGAGTGATACTTGTTTATAGTAATAGTGTGTTCACTATTACGGAGACCATATGTCGGTGTTGATTTAAAAGTAATAGCACGGTTCGTTTTAGATTTTCCAAATAAAAGACGAAAAAGAAAGGTTAGGTTGAGCTTCAGACGTCTCAGCCAGAGTGATTCTAGTTCTAGTTTTTCGCACCTTGCTTCGTAAGGAGGTCCTTCGTTATGTATTAGTAGGTGCAGATTGAAGATTTGTTGGATGTTATCTACTCGAATTCTATCAGATGCTTTCATGTTATCATAGATAACTGTGCAATACTCGAATATTGGGCGAGCCATAACTTTGTATAGTATTAGTTTTGCCTCTGTGTAGAAGACCTATGAGTCTTCTGCCTTTGGAAACTACTGAGTTTGCACACTCTGTAAAAGTCAAACTCCTGAAGTAAATGGTCCCGATATCCTTCACAGTGCTGAATATCTGCAGTGGGTTGTCATCCAAGTGTAGTGTTACTTCTGGGTGGGATTTGTTGAAATGGAGGATGTCACTTTTTTGGGTGTGAAGGGAGCTGCCAGGTCACGCTCCATCTCTTCAGATCATGTTGTATTTGAGAGAAACCTTGTGTTAGCTGCGCAGGGGAAACTGTAGACTATCTTCAAGTCATCTGTGTAGAGGTAAGGGATGCCATATCTGATAATGCTGCGGATATCGTTTACATAGATTAGGAAAAGTAACGGTCCTAGCACACTACCCTAGACGACACCATTTTGTATAGGTCTAGGGGAGAAGTAGGAATGACTGAATTTTACTACTTTGAAGCGACCCTCTAAATTTGTCCCAAGCCAGGACAGTAACGAGTCTTGGCAACCATATGGTTTCAACTTAATGACTAGGAGTTTGTGAAGCACCTCATCGGATGCTTGCTTGAAGTCTAAGAAAGGGGTAGTGACGGGTAGGCGTAGATTACTCTTGCTCGTAACATCGTCTAGATAGTCAAGATAACAGGTAGCGCATGACCGGCCTTTCAAGAATCCATGTTGTGATGGAGAGAGCAATTGGTTTGTAGTCATGTAGTCGACAACTTTCACGATCACCCTTTCCATAATCCTAGATACTGCTGACGTGATGTTTGTTGGTTGGTAGTTTTCTCTACTATATGTTGGTCCACATTTGTGCTTGGGATGTATGTATGACAGTTTGCAGTTCCCATGATAATTGGCATTAGAGAGGGGCATATTGAAGAGTTTCAACAGGATCAGCGGTTTGTCTCCGCCACCACTTTTAATCAAGATGTTTGGAATCCCATCAGGCCAGCTGTGTATTAGGCTTGAAGTGATGCTGTAACAAGGGAGGTTTTTTTAAGTGCAGAGCAGACTTCTTATCGGATGAGTTGATGTTGACAGCGTATCAACGGATTTCGTTGTGTCTTCCTGTGTGAACGAGATGGCAAATCGATAGCTGAACAGCTTGCAGATTTGTAGTGGGTCGTCGTGGAGGTCCTCATTGTCCATGAATAAATTAGGAGCACTATTTCCGGAGCTGTTTGTCCAGGTCTTCAGCAGTCTAACTAGTGCTTCTGTTCTACTAATCTTGTAGCAGTGGACGCGTTTTTGTTTAACAGCTTCTACTTCCCTTTCTAGTTGTGTCGTACTTGTTTTGAGCTTGATAGGCGATGAACAGTCATTTGACTTATCAATCTTTGTGGCTTGGTTACGCATGCGGTTGTGTAGCTTCATAGAAATAAAGTCAGCTTTGTTTTCATTTTTATCTATTTGAAGCGCTGGAACAATATAATCTTGAGCTATACCTTTATATTCGTAAAATAGGTCACAGAGTTCTTTGGTTGAACTTTTGATGAAGTAGGGCCTCCAATCTTGGCAGCCCAAAAAGAATTGTAGTTATTTTCATTTAGCATACTTGTAGATTCTAGATAGAACCTTTCCTGTCTTTTGGGTTAATTTTGCTCTAGATATGTTGAAGTATCTATGTACTATTTTGTGATTGATACCTGGGAATTGTGTATCTACTTCGAACTTTGTGAGTTACTTTTACAATCGCCATCAACTCTGAATTGTTTGAGAACCCAAGGCTCATCTTTTCCACCTGGTCACTGACCCACAGGCTTTTTAGGGAAATCTGGACCCTTGCATCACTTCGTTTCAAGTTCGGCCAGATTGACAATACCTCTCAAGACTAGGTTTTCAGGGTCTAGTTTGAGTGAAGAATAACACCACTGCAAATCGATTGACTTTTCTTATCTTCCTTACTCTATAGCTACAAAGTATGAGCATCGAGTGGATTCATTAGGATTGCATTGTACTACAGTTATAGAATCTCTTGGTTGTATTGTGTTCTCTGAGCTGGATTGTTTAATCATGAAGCTTTCATCGTCCTTCTAGACTACATCATCAGCACTAACTTCAGTATGAAGTGAGCTGTCAATATCTCTCCGTGAGTGATTTAGTAGCTTGCCTTGACGAAGCGGTCTGTGATTGGTTGTTTCCTTTGATTGTTTTGTCATTGACTGACTGCATAAATTCTCCTGTTGGCTGTCCCTCTGCTTCACCTCTAACCTTTCTGTCGTTTATCATCTTTCTTGTTGGTTGATAGATTGGGTCTATGTCTATATACATCTGTTGATTGCTGACCGACTGGCCTGAATGCCAAGCTTCTGGGAATTCTCTGATATTTTTGGTGTTTCCTCTGTCCAAAATTTCTGCATTGTCGAAATTGAATTCATGTCCATGGTTGTTATCCACATGCATTGAAATGAGTGATGTAATGTCGTGACGTTTAATAGCCAATTGTTCATGTAGACGAAGGCGAAGAGGGTGACCAGTTTGTTCAATGTAGTGTTGACTACAGTTATTGCAGTTGATTTTGTAAATGATATTCGATTTATCTTCTTTGGTTGTCGCATCTTTTGGTCTGCATAATAGTGTTTTGCAGGGAATTTGTTGGTTTATGAGTGGCCACACCGATTCCAAGTGGTTTCAGTAGTCTTACCGCGATCTCTGATATATATTCCTTATGTATGGTACGATGATGCGTTTATTGATTTCTGTCGATGACTTTGTAGTTGGTGACGTACGGGATAGATATCTTCTGATAAAGTTTCGTGGGTAGCCATTCTTCTTTAGGGTGGACATCAAGTAATTTTCTTTGTTTCTCCGTGAGGTTGTTGTACTGCAGTGTGTTCTCGCTCTTCTGAATAGAGTCTGCACGCGACTGATCTTGTGGGTTGTTGCTACTGCAGTTGAGGACTTGGTCATTGTGTGTTGGCTTCCTGTACACTTGGGTTTCCAGCTTTCCGGCACTTGTTCTATTGACCAGAACATCCAGGAATGGTAGTTGGTTGTTTGACTCCTCCATTGTGAATTTGATATCACTGAAAACGTTGTTGGTCAAAATGAAATTGCTTTCTATATCATCTTTTCAATGATGACAAAAGTGTCGTCCACATAGCGAATCGAGAATTTTGGTTTGATCACAGGTAGGATGATGGTTTCCAGTCTCAGCATCACTGCTTCTGCAATTAGTCCGGATATCGGTGATCCCACTGGCGCTCCTTTCATCTGTTTGTATATCTTGCCGCTGACGTGGAAGTATGTTGTCATACAAAGGTCGATGAGTTCCATCAGACTTAAACATTTAAGCTTTGTGCGTTCTGTAAAGCTTGTATCTTCACTGAGCAGAGGGGACATAGTTTTCTTGGCCAATTGGGGTTCGATAGATGTGTATAGTGCTGCGACATCGAAGGATATCATTAATTCGTCGTTTTCTATGTTAATGTTTTCGATCTTTTCTAAGAATTCCGTAGGTAACTTCATGGAATGTTCGCATGATTGGATGAAGTGTTTCAGTTTTCTCGAAAGTTCTCTTGATACGTTGTATGTTGGAGTTCCTGGAAGTGAGACAATTGGTCGTAGAGGGATGTCTGGTTTGTGTAGTTCTGGTCTGCCATAGAACCGAGCAAGGAGCCAGGTTCAAAAGATTTCAGAGAACAGAGCGCATTGGAGACGTGCTACTGAAGCCTTATGTTCCATTAGGAACCCAAGGGACAAATAAAATTCAATAAAATTATCATCCGCATTCATCGTCCACAAATTCGCTATGTAGACGACACTTTTGTCATCATTGAAAAGATGATATAGAAAGCAATTTCATTTTAATCAACAACGTTTTCAGTTACATCAAATTCATAATGGAGGAGAAGTGGAACAACCAAATGCCTTCCCTGCATGTTTTAGTCAGTAGAACAAATACAGGAAAATTGGAAACCCAGGTGTACACGAATTAAACGCAGACTGATCAAATGGTAAACTACATTAGCAACAATCCAACAACGCACAAAAGTATTTGCGTATAGACTCCATTCGAAAGAGCGAGAACACACTGCAGTACAACAACTTCACGAACAAATGAAGAAAATTCCTCGATGTGTCTATCCTAAACAGGAATGGCTACCCACGAAACTTTATCAGAAGATATCTATCCCGTACGTCACCAACTACAAAGTCATCGACAGAAATCAATAAACGCATCATCGTACCATACATAAGGAATATATATCAGAGATCGCGGTAAGACTACTGAAACCACTTGGAATCGGTGTGGCCACTCATAAACCAACAAATTCCCTGCAAAACACTATTATGCAGACCAAAAGATGCGACAACCAAAGAAGATAAATCGAATATCATTTACAAAATCAACTGCAATAACTGTAGTCAACACTACATTGGACAGTCATACTGACTATCAGAGAAGTTTAAGGCATTTTGACCATGCTTTTAGAATGATTGACTGACAGATAAAATTAACGTAGAACCTTGTGCACAGATGCTTTAGCTAAAGTTGCCAGACTTCTCAATAGTACACAGTACAGGTGGATGGAAGAAATTTGATGTCAAAGTAGGCAAAGTTGTCTGTGCGAATAAACAATTCGGAGATGAAGGTAAGTACGAATATTCAAGCTTTAGTAAATGTCAGATAATGAGTGAATACATTTATGCCACCGTCAGCGATTGATGTCCAGTCATGTCACCGTCCTCAACCAGTTATCCCTATTACATCAGGGACTCCATCTAGGTAGTGTAATCCCGCGACAGGGCTCATAGAAGCAGTCAGAGACTTCATCCACTGGTGCCAACTTAATCCGTAGCATGGCATATCGATGTACGTGGTGACTCAGCATGTCCAGTTTTGTGCAAGCCATCTCAGTCAACTAAGGTTTATGACCTCATTAATCGACTTGCCTATCTTGTCTAGTACGCTTCACCTGACCTTTGAATTGCTCACATGGTGATTCTACCAAACACAAGCTATGCAATGAAGACATCTGTGATCAAAAATTCGTAATCGCTTCATGTCTTCTACTTTTAATGGCCATGTCTCACAGTCATACAATAGAATAAAATGAATTGCAGCACAGTATACTCGTCCTTTGATAGATAGTCACAAATTGTGCAAGTTGGCGAATATCGAATAGGTTTTCTGTATCCGAGCTGAGATTTTGTCGGTCTAACAAAGTTGCTAGTAACCGACATTTGGATACTGTGATTGATTTGTAAGATCTAGTTTATCAATAGCCCTATTTGTGGACATTTCTATCCTGTGAACCTGTTGTTGAAACTTGTTTTTTTTGGAAAAATTATTGATATACAGATCACTATAGAGAATTGATAACGATTTTCATCCATGTAATGGCCAATTTTTCAAGAGTTGCAGAGATTTTCGAACAAGCCTCCGTTGCATTCAGTCGTTTAGCTCAGTTAACTTTGGATCTGAAACAATTTCAAGCACAACAGAATGATGGGGATTCAAAGACTTGCGGTAAATGGTCGCAAAAAGAAGTTGATGATCTTAAAGCTGCTATTGGACGTTTTGGAGCTGATCTGTCTAAAGTAGCTGAAGCTATTGAAACAAAGACAATTAATCAAATAAAGCAGAAGTTGAAGACTCGGGGTTTTCAGGTTTTATTAATAATATTCGTTTGAATTAATTCTATAGGATGCTGGTCTTGGGGATATTTCCTTGGATAATGAGACTGGAGATACTCAATTAAAATCGGAAACCACAGTTTCATCAAATAATGCTTCAGTAATTCAAATTGCCTACCGCCTATGATAAATTTCAGGTAGAGCGTGGAAGACGTAAACAAGCCTTAAGTCAAATACCTGAACCGGTCGATGTACACCCTGCCAAGGTAAGCCCAGTTTCCACGTAAAAATAATATCTGATATTGTAATCCATCAAGTCACTGTGTACAGTGTTAAGTTTCGTCATCATACGCTAATTTTATCCGTCTATATCAGGTTTAGAAGCCTGTCTAGTATTTTTACATATCACTGGCAATTGTCTTGTCTGTTCGTAAAGTATTTTTCAAAACACTTTCCCAACCTAAATTCACGAGTGTTTAGTCAACTAGTTGCATTTCAGTTCTATGTGTGTACATGTTATATTAATCACATGGAAATGTTCATGGATGAGTTTCTTGTTGCTTCACTAAGCTTCAAGCAGATAACCCGTAGTTATCGATGCTCTGTATGTAATCAGGTGAACAGACAAACAAAATTAACGCAGAACCTCGCTACACTTCAACTTGCTATGTTTCATAGTAGTGCAAAAAGAGCAAGTGAGTAGAAAAGAAGGGAGAAGAAATTCAAAAAATCATAGTTAGTGAAAGCGTTAATGAAGACGTCGAAAAGTGAATAAAGGTAGACCACTTTGATCGATTTTCAACTATATCACTAAGAGTCCTCAACCACTTATCTCTATCCTCTCAGGGGTTCTATCCAGGTAGTCCAATCCCCCTACATGGCTTAGACCAGCAGTTAGAGACTTTACGCATTTGTCCCCCATCTTTGTCTCATCACCCTGAGCCTTATTTCAGCCTAACCGAGCTTCCTCTAACATAGTATAGCACGTCGAGGTAGATAGTGGCTTGGGATGTACAATTAGATCTGCCTTCTTAGATTACACTTCTGCCTTTGACTCTTTCCCTAGACCCCTGCTATCAAACAAGCTTGCTAGTATTCACATTGAGTCCTGGATTACAAATTGACTCGATTCTTATTTTTCTGAGAGAAGACAGTACACTCTATATTGAGGGGAACCCTCTACTTCGCTGCCTAGTGAAGCCGGTGTACCTCAAGGTGCTGTTTCTCCTTTCCTTTTCTCACTTACCAACGTCAACTAAAGCTAACTTTGTTAGGTAACCTGATGACCTGACAGTATCCATGCCGATCACCTCCTCTTCTGATTATTCTCAGTTTAATAATTGCTTAAACGAAATTGATTACTGGTCTTCCTTAAATGGCCTCACACTCAATCCCTCTAAATGTCAGATGGTTAATTTTCGCTTACGGTATGAAGAAGACCTTTGCACATTGCTTCAGTCCCATGACTTTTGTCTTGTAGATGCCTCTGTTATAGGGAATGTAGCAAGCGTGGTCCAACTTGGCTTATGCTCTTCTCCTAATTTTTCTTGGTCCCCTCACATCTTACTGATTTCCCTTGTAAATCCTTGGCTTGACGTTATATAGTAGGAAACTCAGACTATCTGAGATAACTCATTCTCTACTCTTTCGTTTCATTAATTCCTGTCTTTCTTTTACCAACTTATTGTTCCCCTTTATTCTTTCCTGGACTTCGGAAAGAAGACTACGTTGTATTGCGTAGGGTTTTGAAGGGTGTTAGTAGAGCAAGTAGCACACCCCTAACCGAACTGATAGATGCCATCGTGGATAGGCATCCGAACTGTTGTAGACTTGGTAAAAATATTTTATCTGATGACAAGCATCCTCTGCATCTGCACCTCTCTCCATGTCTGTCATCTGGGAAGACAATAAGCAAATATATTAAACTCTATGCACGAACAACTACATACAAAATGCAATCATACCGCCTTATTTAGCTTGTGGTATTGTGTGAAGAAAATCTTGTCGGACATATTCTTATCAATAAACTGTAATAGCGAACAGTTATCATGTCCCTGAAGTCTAACATTTCAATAATCCTGTTATTCATTATTCTGTATTATATATTGTTAAACAGAACCACTGTTAATGTTTTTAAAATGTTATTCAATGGATAAATTGATGTAATATCACTGTCTGGGAATTCTGTACTGTAAACATAATTATAGTGCGGAATAAAGCAAATATATTATTATTATTATTATTATTATTATTATTATTATTATTATTATTATTATTATTATTATTATCATTATTACATGTCCAAGCCACCTCAGTAGGTTCACAACCTTATCAGTTGACTTGCCTGTTTTGTCTAGTACCTTTTGCCTAACTTCAACATTGGTCACACAATGATTCCATCAAACGCAAGCAATGCTACAAAGACATTTGTGATGCAAACTCTGTAACCACTTCATGTTTTCTACTTTTAATGGGGGTACAACATGATAGAAGGGATTGCAGCTCAGTATCCTTGTACTCTTTAATAAATGGTGCGAATTGCTGTATACAGTAATATACTTCTACCCTATTTGATGTACTGTTCAAAGCTATAATTTGTATGATAGGGGAAAAAATGTAACCCAGTAACCGTAATCGCGTTAAGTCACTCAGCAAAGTCACACGTATTAAGTGAAGTTTGAGGCTACTTATGAACTTGTCAAATACGCTGACAAAATGCACAGTTATAAGCAGAAAGTTGAATACCTTTGGTATACGTTTTGCGCCTGTCAGGTGTAAGGTCATGCTACATAAGTGCTCTTAAACTAATCCGAGCGAAGTGGTCGAATGCGTCGACCATTTCACTTAGGGAGTTGCGTCAACTGGTTGCTGACGAAATCTCAGCTCGGATACAGAACGCTCGTTTGGAATTTGTAAACTTGAGTTATGGTGTTAACCTGGAAGATATCTGACTGTTAAAAGAAGAGTACACTACGCTACAATCCGTTCTGTCCTGTTATACGGCTATGAGACATGGCCGTTAAAAGTAGAAGATATGAAGCGGTTACAAGGTTTTAATCATCGGTGTCTTCGTAGCTTTACTTGTGTTTGGTGGAATCACGATGTGAGGAATCTTGAAGTTAGGCGAAGGTGAGATAGGCTAGTCAATTGATGAGGTTGTGAACCTACTGAGATGGCTTGGAGAAGTGTTGCGCCATGCTGAGCCACCACTTATCTTGACCGTCCCATGCCATTTTAGACGAAGTTGGATTAAGCTGGGACAATGCTCAGAGAGTGGTCAGACCAAAATTTTGCCACTAATGCATAAAGTCTATCTGCTGATCTGACCCGTGTAAGGTGGCATCGACTGTCTGTCTGGGGTCTGTGAGACGATAAGAATCATTGGTTGAGGACTCTTGGTGACATGGTTGAATGTCGGTCACAATCGTGCAGATGCATTCACTCCTTGACGTCTTCTAAAGCTTGAATGTTTTGACTAACATTATTTTTTCTTCATTCACTTGTTCTTTGTATACTAATGTGAAGTGTGGGGGAATTGAACCGATGCCTTTGTGTATGAGGTTTTAAGTTGATTTTGTTTATCTGTCTGTTTGTGTGTATGGGATTCACGTTTTTATGATACGACGTAGATTTCACTTGTTTGACTTAATCAGACAAAGCAGTAAATTCAGTAGCTGAGTTCAGGCATATGTCCCAGTTTTAGTGAGTGTTTAGTAAAATCATCAGACTGTCAATATAAAAGTTTAGGTAAAGCAAATAAGCTTATTTCGATTGATATTTTTCTTTATCAGTTCTATAAAATGATGACAATAGTTTAAAGATACGTCGGTCAGATCTACTGTCATCTGCTGAAAGCAACTTTGCTTACTGTGTGTGGGATATTCTATGTAATCTAGATGGTTGTAATCTACACCCATAGTCTCTGTGCCATGATGTTGCCTCTGTTTGTAAACAATGAACTAACGATCAAAACACTGCATTCTCCCTTTATATGCCTTTTCATTTTGTCTTTTAGCGATCCAAATCAACTGTTGACGATTCTGATGAGTATGCTAATTATGATACTGAAACAGAGAATATTTCAGAGAAGTCTAGGCAACATGTTAACACTGTGAATAGTAATAGTGTATCACATTTTGAAAATAATGGCAGTAATAATACTAATGATAAGAATATGAATAGTGTTTCAAAGCGTAAAACCTCAGATGGAACCTTGTCGTGTGTTTTATCCAAACGTCAGCCATTTGTTAACTCTGATGTTCGAAGTTTCGATGGACGTCATTTGAAAACAACACCTGTAACGAATTCAATTGGTTCAGGTTATGATGCCAACGAGTCGAAATATGAAGATTATGATGTAAGAAGTGGATTTTTATTCAAGTTTAGTAATCATTTTTTTATAGTTAATTAAAACTAGCCACATATAGCTTATTTGGTGATGTTGACAGTAATGATCTGGTATTTTTGGTGAAAAAAACTATTCATCATAACCTTAGAATTTTCTGTATGCGTTCTCGTCATTATCAATATCAAGGTAGGACCAGGCATTACTAGGCAACGGTATAAGTTGCCACATCTCACCTATCAGCACATCAAGTAACAAAGCAGTAAAAAAGAGGAATGAGAAAATACTGATTTCAGCATACCAGTTAAGATGAAGATAAAGTGTTCATGTATCTGCGTCACTGACATCGATTCTGAGCCATATCATCACCTAGAGTCTGCAACCATTAGTTTTTCTTGTCCTGCGGACCCCAACTGGCTAGTCTACATCGCCCTACATGGCTCAGAGCAACAGTCAAGGACTTCATGTAATGATGTCATGTTTTAGTCTGACCGCTCTGAGCCTTTTTCTAGCCTGAATCTACTTCAGTTAATATTATGGAACGATGTAGACAGTGACTAGACGTTCGTAACACATGTCCCAGCCAGTCATCTAACAACCACATCAACTTCCCTCTTCTCTGTGAAAATCTACACCTGACTGGACATACGGCCTACTGTATAAAGGCAGTGGGTGTCAAACACTTCTCATGTCCTCTACGTTTAATGGTCATGTTTCACAGCCATACAGTAGGACAGAGCAAACTGTTGTAGACCTGTCGGATGTTGAGCTATTTATTGTTTAGGACTGATATGGACTCGCTTATTCTTTGACTGTAGATCTAGATTATTCGCTGTTTCATCTGGTTTGGTTTATTGTTCATGTTCTAATAAGAGAAGATAGTTGAGTTCAGTCAGGTGTTTGCTCATCAACTCTCTTTCAGTGTTGGATATGTGTAGTTGAACTATCGAATGAGGAATGTTGGGGTTAGACATTTAGTTTTACAGAATAGTTGATGATGGAACCTTGAGATAACTAAAACAGTTAGGGTATTCAACACCCAACAAGTTTCAGCCGTTACTCAGTGTTACCTGGTAAATGGGTGCCTATAACTATCGATTCAGTTAACTGTGTATGGCAGTTCTCTTGGTGACCTAACTTGTCAACTGTCAACCAGTTAGCCTTGGGTTTAAATCCATTTCATGTACACCTGGATATTGGTTTTCGCCTAAAGGGAGGATTTGAAGCTTAGGAGAGTCGGATAGAGAAAGCCCATTTGGTATTTGCCAACTCGTGTCATCTCTGGTGCCGACTACCGAGATATCTGACTGTCCATCGAGAGATGAGTATAATCCTCTGCAATCCATTCTGTCCTGTTATCCAGCTGCAGCATTGCCGTTAAAGGTGGACGATATGAAGCAATTACACGGTTTTGATCACAGATGTCTTTGTAGTATTACTTGTTTGGTGGAATCACCATGTGAGCAATGTTGACGTCAGACGGAGGGTAGTAGACAAGACAGACCAGCAAGTCGACTGATGAGGTTGTGAACTTTCGGTGACTGAGGTGGCTCGCAGAAGTGTTGCACATGCTGAGTCACCGCCTACAACTGGGAGAAGTTGGAGTAGGTTGAAAGAGGGTTCAGGATGGCCACATGGAAACGTGATACCAGTGGATAAAGTTCCTGGCTATTGGTCTGAATCTGAGATCTAGGTAATCACATCAAAATATATTCCTTTGGCATTCTGGCCTTGCTTTTTTTCCTTTCCATATGACAGTTGAATGTGTTATCTCTTACTTTGCAATTTACCAAAAAACATTATTTTACTCATTTTTTAAACGTTTGAGACCAAAACTTGGTATTAGAATGGTTTCTACAGGGTAAGAGAGAAAGTTTAAACCTCGTATTTCTCTCCATTGACCCTATAAATTTTTGTCGATATCTTTTCTCTCTCCCGCCGTCACTGTCGCTGCCCCCCGTTCTCCGGATATCAAGAGTGATGATAGTAATTATGGTGCAGGCGGTGGGACACCTGAAGGAGATTATGAATCAGACGAGGAACAAGAAGAGGAGGAAGAGGACGGTGAAGAAGAGGAAGCGAACAGAAATCAAGATTACGATGATGCATCATCTGCGAATTGATTTCTTCATGCTTTTTTGTCATCATTTCTATATATGTATATAAACATGTATTGCGTAATGTATTAGTATTTTCATTGATAAAACAGGTAAAAGAACAACTTTACTTATCATTTTGATGTATTGAAGCTTTAGGTGCTGTGTTTGGCTATGCAGTTTTAACCTAGGTGAGAAAGCGAGATAATTCGTTGATGGGGAAACAGAGGTTGACTATCAGTGTAGAATAAGGATAATATCACGATAGGCAATCTAGGTGATTTTAGTCCGGAACAACTTACTCTTATTCTGGAAGTGACGATGAACATGGTTAGCGAATGTGAGTTGTGACAAGATTTGCACCGATGACCTCCAGGGTCTAGATTCTAGGAGCTTTATCGTCTGAGTCAACAGACAAATCTGTTAATCAGTAATGACTTTCACTAAGATCATCGAGACCATCATATGATGGAAGAGTGATGAAACTTGGTTACCATTATAAACGCGAATAGCCAGAGTAAGATGACATCATCTTATTGGTCGAAATAGGCGTACTAGATTTCACTGTTTGTCACCACCAAGGAAATTACTATTTAATGAAGAAAGTTGTAATCTTATTTTATACAAGTGAAGACATCTTCCTACTGGTTGATTGGAAAAATCAGCGTAGCACATAAGACAAAAGTCTATCGGTGCTAGTTACCGCATCTCTCACATGAGGACATGTAGTAGAAGTGGGAAGAAATGGACTGATATCAAAGTAGACAAAGTTGAATCAATGGAGAAATAGTTTGGAGATAAAGTTTAGTGAAAATAATCAAAGAGTGAATACGTTTGCACCATTGTGATCAGTTTCCAATCATGTCACCAAGAGTTCTCAACCACTGATTCCAATCGTCTCGTAGACCCCAGCTAGTCAGTCTACTTCTCCATATACGGCTCAGACCGGCAGTTAGAGATTTCACACTGCTGCTATGTATTGATCTGGCAAACCCGAATCCTCTTTCAAATTATTCCAGCTTCCCCTAGCATAGCGAATCTGGGTAGGGGGTGACTCGGCGTGTACAACACATGTCCAAGTCCCCTGATTTGCTTGAAGGTTCACAACCTCATCGACCGGTGTGTATTCCTTCCCTAGTTCCTTTCCCCTTACGTAGTGATTCTACCAAACGTGAGCGATGCTGCGATACCTGTGGTCAAAACTTGTAGCCGCTTCGTATCTTCTACTTCTAATGCCCATAAGTCACAGTAGTACAACAGGACAGAGCGGGCTGCTGGGCAGTTTACTCTTCTTTCAACAGACATCTCATCAGTTGGTATCGGAGATGACAGGAGTCGAGGAAAGCCGGACGGATGTTCTGTATCTCATCTCAGATTTCGCCAGCAACCAGCTGTTTTGGACTCATGCAACTCCTCAGTGAAGTGAAGTGGTCAACGCATTCCACCACTTCACTCCCTATCCTTAAACCGGGAGTAGTTGCAGACCAGTCGTGTTGCGTCTACATAATCCAAGTCAACTAAACACCCTCCAGGGGTATCTCAATCCGTGTGAAGTCAGACGTGCCCAGACTTATACCCGTTAGTATGTTTATAACGAAGTTGAAAAGGTGCAGCGTCAGTGGGCATGTTTGGCGGACGTCACTAGTTATTCTGAACTTTGATGATAGCTTCCCATAAGCCCTGACATGGCTGTGTGAGCTCGAGTAGAGAGCTTTGACTAGCGTTTCTCGGTACTCCCTTCACAACCAAACACTGTCACAACACCTCACAGTCGAGTGGCGCCTTCAGGTCGAGAAATATGGCAATTGTCAGCCACTGGCCGGTAAGTATGGCTCTGTTCCAGAACGTGTCGGATGGTAAAAATATGGTTGATGCACCGTCATCCTGGTCTGAAAGCTGCCTGGTTTCCTTGAGTTTGTTGCCCTCGAACTCCAGTTTGGAGTCGGATAAATATGGATCCTAGGGTCTTAGTCATAGTATTAATCAAACTAATTCCCCTATGGTTGTCACAAGGGGACTTCTCCTTATGGACTGAGACGATCAATGAAGTGGACCGGTATGATGGGAATTCCTGTGGTTCCCATAAACTACCTCCGTTACTCCGACCAGCAATTTCCTACATCTATGCTTATAAACGTCTGATGGCGAACTGTCAGACCCAGCTACCTAGCATTGTGTCAGGTTCAAAACAGCCGTCTCAACATTGAGGACCGACATGTACCTCACTTTCAGGTTCGAAATGGATGCTGGGCAACTGAAGTACAGGTGTGGTTCAGTTAAACTGCACCTCAAGGGTATTCTTTCCAGCTTCCTAGGCAATTGTTCTGGGAGACTATCAGCGTCCCATTCTTTTCAGTAATGGTTTCACTAATCACCGTCTTTTTCCTGCCAGTATCCCTAACAATCCTAAGTAGTTGCCAAGTGTTACCCACCTCTGATGCCTTCTGCATCTCTCTCTGCCTACCACTGCTCGCGACCATTGCGACAACTCTTAGTCATTTTAAGGTGCTTCCACTCTTCATCGTGGTCAGAGCTAGCCACCTAGAATCAGTCCAATGGCATCAATCATTTTGCATGGTGTTGCGGAAATTCAATGACGTTTACTAGCTATCATGCATAGGTTGCTAACTGTTTCCACCACTGTTTTTACCGCAGACTTAATACCACTCCAGGTTTCCCCGGAAAGTCGAATTCAGATGAATACTTAGCTAACTTCTCTCCAAATGTGCCCCTGGAGTCCTCAACTTCTAGTCGAACTCAAGTAGGCTTTGCTGCCACCTGTTTCCCATGGCTAGCAGAACACAGGGATTTAGGAGCCCGTGATCTGATTTCAAATTGGTACTCCAGAAAGAGCTGTAATCTTCCAATGGTGGCTTACTGCAATATGATATCTGTGTCTGTCATTGGTTTGATGTCGGCGGACGCCTTGTGGTACAGTGATAAACAAGCAAGATTATCCACCACAGCCTCAAAAATTCTCCACCATTCCTACAGGCAATGCATAATTTTAGATAGCCTGTTAGCCTCCAGTTTAAAAGTGGTCACGACCGCTGAATTTCATTCATCATTTCATGGTAGATGACGATCCAGATGTCTGAGAAATGATGGGATGAGTGAATTACAATTACAATGTTAAGTTCCGATTACACTGACTGGAACGCACGAATGATACTGTCGTGGAATGCTCAATATCAGTGCTACAGAACACTGGAAAATATACCGACTTATGGAGAGTGAAAATCTAGCCTTAATGAGATCAATTTACGGAAACTACTGAAATATACTTCATCCACTTTAACTCAGAAAGTCAAATGTTTCAGGTTGGTATTCATTGCTGACTGACATCAGCTGAAGAAACATTGGAAACTTAAGAGCACTGGACAGCCGTTCCATCCTAGATTGTGACTCCTCAGCGGTGACCTCCCCAGGGGTCGAACCTGCGAACTTCAGGTTTCAAAGCCGGCACGTTACCATTTAACCTCTGGGCCAGTTAACGACATAGTGCGACCTCCTTCCACTGGCATTGTTGATCGCTGGTGGGTTATTAGGCTGGCACTACTGAGGAATCCCGTACTAGGACGAAATGGTGACTTCCCGGTTCTCCCTGGTCTACAACGTTTCTCCAACTGACGTTGGTAGATCTATGATGTATACCAACTGGAAATCAATAAATAAGTGAATCCCCGCAAACCTATTCAAATGTTTTAAGTCAACCATTCCAGCGAAACAGAGTTCCAAACAGTCAAACAATCGGTATCTAACAACTTCACACAATAGGTATGTGTGTGCGTGCAGGCGCACGACATTACAGTACAAGTAGGTCCGGTGCAGTGGGGAATCCCACTTGACTAATGAGACACATACACGTTTCAACTGGCAACAGTAAAATGTCAACACACTGCACTCTGGGATAACTACTGCGTATTCATTATAATCAACAAGATATAATAAAAGGTGAAGTCGAACTTTAAAAAAACAGGCATATTGTTCCGAAGAAATGCCATCGTACACCATTTAAGTATTACGGTTACTAATACTACTTACTACTGATGGTAATTAGAAAAAAGATACAATTAAAAAGAAAACGGTAAAGGTGCGAACAAGGCATCACATCGACTACTTCGGATGTGCCTTTTATGCGGGTAAAAGGAATTATAAATAGAAATAATAATACATAAATGCATATTAAAACTTAGGGAAATTCCGTTCAACGCCTTCATTATTATTTCGGCTTTACAACCTTATTGAATTCGAACAAGTTCAGAATGACATAGAAATGCTGTGGATAGGAAATTTGAAGATGATGATGAAAATATAGATAGGTGATTATCAAGAAATATCTCTTCAAACTAACAGGCATATTAGACTCAGTAGGAGTGAAGTTTTATTGATGACGTGAATACGCAAACAGCTCAGCCTAACAAATATCACTGAAGTGTACCACTAGCCACAACTTAACAAGATTTCACGTCAATATGATCGCGCCCTATTTCACAAGTTGACATCAATCGCAAAAGGCGGCTAACTACTGGATACCAACTCGGTCGGTGGCTTGCCACATGATCTGTTTGGCCCTGGGCTTGACCCCACAGGAATTCAAAACTGGGATAGAACAACTGTCCTTGGTGAACCATTGTGTTATCTTTTTTGAGTGACTACAAGATGATGTTCAAGAAAAGTTACACGATAGGGTAAAAACCTTCAGTCTGAATGTTTCAGTAGTGCATACACTCACTTATTCAGATCAATGAAACAGATAGGCAAACAAACCAAAGTACAACAATGGCATATAGAAGTGTATCTGTTCAAGTTGCCACACACATCACAGCAGTACCAATAATCTCAAATCAATGATTTTTGTCCTCTTCAGTAGCATACAGTCAGGCAGCCTGTATCTCTCTACACGGCTCGAACAAACAGGCAGTTCTTGGACTAAACTGACTGTGAGGTGATTCGTAGAATAATTTAAGTTAACCGATAAAGATATGCGATGCAATCGAAGTCGAGATGGATTTAGCATTCTTGTGCACATTTATGCAGTAGACAATAAGCCACACACCTATGATGTGAAGACTGATGATACTGCCGACAGTTCGGTTGGCGGCGGTTGCGATGTTCGGACCAGCGACCCAGTGGT